GAGCCAATAAAGAGCATTTTGGAAGAATTGTTGTTGCGCATTGTTGTTGTTGTTGTTGTTTTTTTTTTTAATAGTAAAGTTTGTCATTAGGCTTAATGAAAAACTATTTAAATTATGAAAACACACCAGGGAGGAATTAATTACTTTTTTTTCCGTGCTCACCAGCTAAAAACTCAGGTGAAAGTTTTGGGTGTTCATCCACTTCTGTACTTTGGCCTAGTTCTGAGACTTGAGTTTTGCTTGCATTTCCGACACCCAAATGTGGCTTACTTATGTGCGGACTGTTGTTTTATTGCCTCTTTGGTAGATATACTTCGACTTTGAAAGAAAAGAGATTTTAATCCCAGTATGATAACTATCGCTTTTGTTGTTGTTGTTGTTGTTGATGATGTAGTTTGCTTTCACCGGCTGTAAACCGGAGACTTGGATGTTTGTACATTTCTGGACTTTGGCTGTAATCCAGGACCTGAGTTTTGCGTATACATCCTTTTTACAGATCTTGCTTATTTGTATGCACACTGTTGGTTCTTTGCCTCTCAGGCAGATGCACTCTGTCTTTGTAGGAAGCCCTCAATTAGTTGATTTCTTCAACATGCTTGAGATGAGGCAGTGACTCTATTCTTGTTTTCCCTCACAATGGGACCCTAGAACCATCTTTCTCTTAGTAAGAGAATTTAAAGGAAATTTAAACATAATAATGAATCTGCACACTTGTCGGCTCTGTGGCTAAGTCGATGCGAACGCTTTGTAATGCCGGGATGCCGAGTTGGATCTCAGCTGCGGGCCATGTGCCTTGCGCCTTGCGTTGGTTTCGACAGTGGTTTCAAGAAAGCCGACTGTCCAGAAAGCAATTGCAAACTACTAGACGTAAATTTGTCTAGAAAACCACACAACAGCAAGGGGCTGTTGGGGTTAGTTCTGCAACGTTCCGTAACTAACCTATCTACACACTTAAAAATCACAGTCTCACTTTCAGGTTACTAAAAGAAAAAAAACTTTGTTCGCCTACGGCTTAGCCTACAGCGTATAGCTGAGCGGTAGTGCACCGTCACCCTGTCTGGACAAAGCCTTGCCAGAACCCACACGGAGACTATAGTTTTGATAGTTATGTTGCCAAGCGTGTCATCGTGATGTAACAGGGAGACGTCATCAATTGTTTGTTAGGAGTTAGGATATTGCACAAAGCTAAGATGTACCTTGATAAACAAGTTTTGGTAACATTCTTTTCACGCCAAAACTAACTATTGAACTCATTACTTGTTTTCAGGAGGTAGGATATGGCGTATTATTTGTAGGGAAGAAAATCAACAGGTCTTGGCAACAATAATTTGTAAAAAGTATTTGACGTCAGTGTTGACGTGCTTTTTTAGAGAGAACGTAGTAGTACTTGATTTTTAGGAGTCTCTATGACGTTAGCTGTCAATTTAATTACTATATTTGAGCAGAATAAGATGATGAAATATGAACGCACATAATAAACATGTTGAGACGTACTAAAAATTTATAAAAGAGAAGAAATCAAATACCTAGAATCCCAGCATCCAAGTATAACAAACCACTTTAGCGGCCTTCGGTCTACAAGGCTTAGAAAGAGGAAGGACTAGTAATATTGACCTTCAAAGCTCCTTCAGTTTACCAGACTTAGAAAGAGGAAGGACTAGTAATATAGATCCTCAAAGAGAACTTTCTGTTAAAGAGATGTCAGCTTAACACTAGAAGAGAGGAGCCAGTCAGATTGAGTCTCGAAGACAGACACTAGAGAGCAGACATGAAATGAGACAACGAACTACAGAGACGACATACAAGGTACATGGATCCAAGGTTAACAGAGACACATTAGATAGAATCGCTATTGAGATGTTAGAATCGATAAACGAGCCGTTAGTACCAGACAGCACGAGAAGCCAGGTGGCAGTTACAGACACTAGAAACAAAGTAACTAGAGATGAAGAACACAACGCGACCTTAAGAGTATGTAGCCATAGGGAGAACACAGCGCCTTTCATAATATCATTTATATCGTTTGTGACATTGCTGAGGTATCACAATAAAGACAGTATAGACAAAAACAGTCGTTTCAATACATTTTTTTACAAGCATCAGAGTCACGTGAAAAGCGTGCAGCTAGCAAGACATCATCATCATCACCACTATAGACACGACCATCTTTCTCCTCGTATATTCTCTTCCAGTCGACTCCTCCTGTAGCAAAACTAAAGACGAACCTGGGTGGGCATCAGCGTAGACAACAAAGGACAGAGCTGTGCTACAGTGAATCTACGTATTCTTTCTGCATTCAGGTTAAAGTAAAGGACCTTTTCGTGTCCCAAAGAGTTATGAACTGAACATCGAGGCATTGTTCTTTATTTCACAGGACATTTCCTGGTACACACTATGCTGGGCTGACCTAAAGATTCCTAGGTGAGTTACAGAAACACACCTAGTGCACTCGGTAAAATGTAAAAGACACTTTTCCACGCCTTCAGGCATATAGGGCTAGACCTATTTTTTATATGGACACTGCCGAAATGCATTCAAAATGAAATCCGCAGCTCACAGTGTCGCACCATACACTCAACTTAGAAGACGGGCGACGAAACTGTATCCTGCCAGTCTACAAATGGAGCAAAAATGCACCACCGTCTAGCAAAAGCAAAAAATTTGGTACGACTTAAAACATTGTCCGTGCCTAGCGTCCATTATGACCGGAAACCCTTAAATATACATAAGACCATTGAGCTACTCATTCCACACCCTTAAGAAATTACAAGGGGCTGGTCATCTCCGAACCCCCCCCCCCCACCCTAATCCACCGATGGTTTTCTTGTGTCAACGCCACTAACCCTTAGTGCACTTAGTGAGTGAAGGATGATTACCTAATATTCTACTAAATGGAGAAATCTAGATGTTGTGAACGAAGCCAAGGCCCAAATACAACAGATTATAACAAGATAAAAACTGAAACATGCTGCGAGAGAGATGCGGGGAAAACAACAAGAGAAGCTTTTTAAACAACCTGTTGTCATAACGTGTAAAGGCGTCGGCAAACGAGTTGATAAACGATGTTGGAGACCGCATAGTGTCGAGGTGTCTTCTTATTCTTTGCGTTCGGTTTCGTATGCTCAGATCAGACCATCAGGTGGGTTGCCTCTATAAACTTGCATGTCATCTGCAGGTCCTTTATGGTTCCCCAGAGCTTGCTCTGCACACTTTGCTCTTGAGGCCAGGTGTCTTTTCGAAGTTGTAGGTAGAGTGGGCAGGTCTGCAGAATGTGCTGAGGTGTTTGTGGTCCTGTTTGACAGGCACACTGTGGGGACTGAACAATCGTTATTGTATGCTACTGGTAGTTGAGCCTACGGTGTCCTGTTAGTAGACGGAAAATTGTTGTAGTTTTCTGTTGGGTCTGCTGATGGGGTCTGTGGATGTTTACTGTTAGTTTGTCCTTAGGCGAGCATGAGGCAGACAGCCTTACAAGTGGGAGGATAACATCAAGAGATGGACGAACAGCAGTATGAGTGAGTGTACATCAAAGGCAAGAGACAGGGCTTGTTGGAGATCCATTGCAGCCAACCTTCATTGTGGAGACTGCACCTGATTGATTGTCCTCTAGACAAATCCTTGTTGCCCCTGTGTCAAGATGTAAGAACGCTTATCATAACCTTCCTGTTGGGTCGGTATACGTCTCATAAGGCTCGTAGCCTTGTTCTTCATTCTGTTCTGTGCAATTCTCTGGACATCATGGAAGTAATCTAGTCCAGCATTGATCCGTGCCGCGGTATGATACAGAGATGCGATCGCATCAGGCTGCACCGTAACAAAAAGGGAGATGGGCATAAGCAGCCAAATTAAAGCCAAAAAATACAATTGTAACTTTTGATCTGGCAGCTCAAAGCTATTAGGCGTCGCATTTTGAATACCTGCATCCTACTGAGAAAATCTACCACACGGGGCAGGTCTTAAGCCTTTGCCTTTAGCCTCCCATCATTTGTCTCAGAGGTCTTCTTGGATGTCTTTGTTTCCTAAACCCATTTCATTTATTTCCCATTTCAATGTCTCTTTGTTGATTATCTGTTTGTTTTCCACAGGATGTGACCAATACAGTACCATCTTCTTCATCTTACAACTGTCGATGTGTTCAGACATTACTCTTGTCTCTTCCCTTTTCTCATATTCATCCCATTTTTATGTTCATCATTTTCTCAGCGGGATTCGCCGTGGCGTAGCTGTTAGACGCTCGCGTGGGGATCGGAAGGTCATGGGTTCGCTCCCTGGCGGAACCGGACATTTCTTCAAAAATGACATGGACTCCTAGTCGACCCTGTTTTGAGTGAGTGCGGGGTGCAGTCCAGGGAGGTAAAGGCGGCCGGCGTGATGCTGACCACATCACCCATCTTGTGCCGATTGGTCTATAAAAATATAGATCGGGCGTGGGAAAGGGACCTTTACTTTTGTAAATCTCATGAATCTTTAGTGATTCTGCAACTTTTACTGGCTAATGTTACAAGTGATATATCGTTGACATTAAAAACCAGTAACTTGGTTTGAAAATCCAACCTACTGCGATTAAAACCTACTGCTGGCTGCGTGGATTTTGATCATGGTATGGGGCGTCGCAGGTCAACCCAGCCTTAAATGGGTACCAGGATGTACGTCCTGGGGAAGTAAAGACGGCCGGCGTTATGCTGACCACATTGCCCACCTAGTGCCGATTAGTCTGTAAAAATGTGAGTTTTATTCCCATATGCCCGAGGCACCTAAAGGCGTGAAAAAGGATATTTATTTTTTAACTTTTATATTTTGTTCAGACTTCTAAAAGCCTCGTTGACGACTTTGTCAAAGCACTTGATAATGATGATCAACTGAAGAGCTACTTCCTTTGCATACTATCTCCAAAAGAGTGGTCTGCGCTTTCTCACCTGTCGTTGGCACGAATCACACACCTTTTCCCCCCAGGTGGCACTGCGAACCCGGAACACAGGTGAGAAAGGAAAACAGAAATCATGGCGTCGGCAGCCTCGCACATTTCTGGCTACTCAACAACGAGCTCGGCTCTCTACCAGAGCACCCTTGCCAGCACTGGCATCCAGAGGGAGACATTTGGGGATCGCATGACCCAGACCAAAAACTGGCTTTTCAATCCCGAAGATGGGACAGTCATGGGAAGGACCCCCATTGACTGGAGTAAGTTGACTTTTATTTACTTTTTTCGTTCGGTTTTTTTTTAAATATCTTTCCTTAAAACTTTATAAACTTAAACAGTAACACTAACAGTAACAATCATGGTTCATATACAATTTTTTAGACAGTTACAGATCAGATACCATCGAAACTTTCCTTCGCTTGCTGCTGAAGATAGGGACGGGACGCTTCTGGGAGTGTGCCAAGTGCTGTGATGTCTATTTTTAATTTAACAACACTCGGCAGCAGTCAGAAACATCCTAAGTTAATTATTAATGGTTATGTTATAGTTATAGATAGTTGAGTCGAGTGGAGAATTGACATCACAGCACTCGGGGCATTTCCATGCATGCTCCGTCCTCATCTTCCTGCACTTAGTAGTAAACAACTACTTTCAATTAGTATTTTGTAGCCTCATCATCATCTTCTTGTTCACCTGCTGTAACCTCGGAAAGTCCCGGAAATGTTAAGGGTGTTCATCCGCATCCATACTTTCAGTCTTTCTCAAGAACCTGGGTGTTACGTGCACATCTGTTTCATATATCTGGCTTGTTTGTATGCAGACTTTCGTTTCCTTGCCTTTTTGGCAGATGTACTGAGATCTTCAAAATGAGAGGAAGCTTCTATTTAATAATTCTACATGTGTATAGCCAACTTATAATGCCCGACTACTTCCATCAACTACATTTCTGGTGGCGACTGTTGGCTGTGGCCTCTTTAGCAACTGCCAAATGGGCTATCTTCCGAATAACCTCAAATTATCGAGGCCGAAAATATACCCTAACAGGGCCCCAGTCACACGTCGATTACAGACTTCCGGCGACTTAAATTGCGCACTTCCAGCGACTTCCGCCACCGCCGAGAGTATTCCTGATGCCGCTCACGCTGGATTGGGGCTAAACTATATGGCTGGGACTCACGAGCAGCAGCTACTGCAGCTTCCTTCATTTTATTTGCTCGTGAGTCCCAGTCATCTAGTTTAGCCCCAATCCAGCGTGAGCGGCATCAGGAATACTCTCGGCGGTGGCGGAAGTCGCTGGAAGTGCGCAATTTAAGTCGCCGGAAGTCTGTAATCGACGTGTGACTGGGGCCCTGTTAGGGTATATTTTCGGCCTCGATGCTCATGCGGCGTGGGGGATACTCTTGGCTGTGGCGAAAGTGCGCAATTCGGGGGTGGCGGTATAGTCCCCGGAAGTCGCAATTGACATGTGACTGAGGGCCTGTTAAGGTATGTTTTGGACCTTGATAATTTGGGACTGTTATTCGGAAGATAGCCGCCAAATGCACTTACTGCGTTCGCATATTTCTGGATTGTGCTAGGACTAATTGTTCACCAATTTTTGAAATGGGATAGTGAGGGACATGACATGATCAAGTATGGAGAAACCCGATTGCAGTGATGTTGAAACCTTGACTAAGACTAAAAAACAGTGCTAGTTGGTATATCAGTGCACTTTATTTTTAGATGTGTTAACAGCAAGTGCACTTAAGAATTTTTACATCAGAAAGTGTATCAGGTTTGTTTCAGCTTAAGACTTTTGGAACTTTGAAATAGCAGCAAGCGTGGAATATAATATTGTTGTTTATTTATGCCTGGTTAGGTTAGTACAGGAAGGGTGGGATGAGAGTGAGAATCAAACAGTTAATTTGATTGTGACAGAACAAGGAAATATTTTTTGTACATTGATTGTATGTTGTAGGCCTCTTCATTGCATGTTTCTAGCCTTAAGTATCTTGTAGATTTGTTCCATTGCATTATGTTAAATACCGGTTCTCTTGCAGTACATTGCAGGATTGCCGTATAAAATTTTCATGCCTGTGTAGAAGGAAAATACCAAGCTGATAGGCTTGCAGGTAAAGCTTCTGTGGGAGGTGGACGAGTTATGGATCAGGCTAAAATATTTGATGTTCTAAGAGAAGCAAAGCGGGCCAAGTTACTAAATTTGAAAATCATGATCAGACTGCAAGAATGGCAAGTTTAAAAAAAAAATTACAGGAAAGGAAAGGGGGTGGGTGGGCTAGACAAGAAACCAATGCCATAGAATAAACCAACACAGAACCAACATCCTCAGTCTTTACTTGCTCTGGGATTTCTGAGGAGGAGATCCAAGCGCCAATGAACTGAATAGTTATATCTGCAATGAGGGTGATCTGTTGACTAGCCAGCCAACGTCTTATAACACTTATTATATTCCCCAGTTTTGGTTATCGGCGGCTTCATCTTATTTATATTCACCCTCATGGGCATGTCAGCAGCGTTCTGTGCCGTCTTCTACTGGGTTGTTGACTGGAACAATCCAACATTACAGGGAGCAGCTAGTATTCTTCAGGTAATATGTGTTGCTTCTTTCACTTCCTCTTGTGGGCTCTGGGGCTCCAGTTTGTTGGCAAATAAAGAAGTTATCTCTTAACTCTTCCAGTCCCAACAGATGCATCATACGTTCATAGGTGCCTCTCTAGAAGCCCAGTGAATGCAAGATGTGTCAATGTAACATCTCCTCTTTACCACCTCTTAATGTTGTCCCTCAAAACTCTGAGATCACACTATATAAAATACTGATTGATGGGACCAGTTGTTTTTTATGGTTCTGGAATCTGGAGCATAACTAAAAGAAATGAATCCTAATGACACATTTTCAGAAACAGTTTTATGACACATTGTAGGACCTATCAAAGAATAAAGATCCAAACAGCGGAGAATGAGAAGCAACAGTGAAATGTATAATCTGTTTTAAGTCATCACTGATCACTGGCAATATCGTAGCTAATAGTCTGAAATTGGTTAGTTGTGTATCCTTTACAGGTCGTTGCAGAGCCAACCCCAAACAACCCCTGGCTGTTGTGTGGTTTTTTTCTAGGCAAATTTACGTCCAGTGGTTAGTCTGAAATAGCTGAAGCATATAAAGAGAATGGCAGATGACTGAGATACAGACACTCTGCAGACAAGGGAGTTAGATGGCCTCACTACGGAAAATATTTTCTGAAACACTTGAACAGAACAGACCAAGTCACAGTTTTTCGCTTACGCACTGGACACTGCAGACTCAATAAACACTCACATAAATTAGGTATGAGCCAAACAGCTCTCTGCCAGTGCCTTCGTGCTGAACAGACTCCAGAACATGTCCTGCAAGACTGTCCTCTCCTGGCGGAGCTGCGGAGCGACATATGGCAACACCCAGTAGAACCGACAACTAAGCTTTGGGAAAACCTAAGAGACCTTGAAAAGACATCCCAGTTTATGACCCACAGTGGATTATGCGCATGGCCAGAGATCGCTGAAGAAGAAGATGGCCTCAGACCAAGAACACCATAGGGATATTATATCAAAGCACACCAACAAACATGTGGAGTTACCAACTGGAAGGAGAAAGCCAGTCAGCATGAACCTTAAGGGCTTGGAATGCTGAAGAAGAAGAATACAAGAGATAGTTTTCACTGGGATCAGAAATGCTATACCTTTGAGGTGCCTGAACAGTTGGAGTGGAGGAAAGTAGATCCTGTGCTATGGTGAACTCTTTTTAAAAAAAAATAAAACATGTATATTTGACATAGCTAGAATGTCTCTGCACTGGAACCCACAGGGGCGTATAAATAAAGGATGACCAAAAACACACTGAGAAGAGAGCTTGAGAGTGAAGTTAAAAAGATTGGGAGAGCTGCATGCGATAGTTAAGGATAGAACAACTTTGCCTGAGTTGGTTGAGCGCCCCTGCTCCTTTGGGGACTAGAGAGGCAGGAGAGAAAAGAGATGTATCTGAAACCTTCTTTTTTCTCCTCATCCAACTGTTTTGCTAGTGCATATAGCTCATCTCATGTCCTCTCCATCTTTTTTTTTCCACTTCACCCTTTAATTCACATAAAAGTCAAACACTGTCAGCCTTGTTGCTGACAATGGCTTGAATCATTACAGAAGTCCACTGTGCGTGGAGCCACCTTTATTTTTGTTCCGGGACACGCAGGCATCAATGGATATAAAAGAGCTGACAGGTTGGCTGTATCCGCTATCACTACCGACGGTCAGCCTATGGATCATGCTGATATTATTAATGCCCTTAGAGAAATGGGAAGGATAGAGGACTTTGGGGTCAGTGAATCCACATCACACGCCAGAATGGTAGACATGGGAATTAAGATCGGCATAGCAAAAAACGAGACCCACGCCAGACACGCCAAAAGACTTGTTAATCAACATAGAACTGGTACTGTTAGCCATCGGACGTTGGGGTTCATACTGAGGGAAGGATCTGAGCACCTATGGACATGTCTGGAGTGCAATGATGATAACCCAACTAACTAACTAAGTTGCTAACATTACTGGTTTCTTGGACATTTTCCATACAGCTTTGTACTGAGAGGTTAATATTTATATTGTTTTGTTTATTTCAGACACCAGGGCTAGGCTTCCGACCACAACCAGATGTTACTACAACTCTGGTGAGATTTGTGAAGGGTGATGGTTCCAGCTATGTTCACTACCTAGACCACATTGAAGCATACATTCAATGTAAGTCTTAGGAAACTTAAATTCTTTCACTGTCATTTCTTTCTGTTTTTTGCATATTCCTGCCTCCTTACCACCAACCCTTTTCCATGTATATACATATGTAGGTGTGTTTGTGTCTTCTTCACATTCACCGGCTATAAATTCCCAGAAAAAGTTCTGATTGTTCGTTTAACTCTGGATCCTATTCCAGAACCTGAGTGTTACATGCACATCTGTTGTTGGTTCCTTGCTTCTCAGGCAGATGCACTCCGACTTCGAAGGACACTCCCAATTAGTTGACTCTTACGACATGCTTTTGGGTAGGCAGTTGGTCTATTCTTGTTTCCCCCCACAGTGGAAGCCGCAGAACCCACAAAATGCTTTTTTGCATTCTCAGTAACCAGTAAAGAGTCTCTATGTGATGGTGCTAATTGCAACATGATTAGAAATCTGCCTGTCTTTTTTGCTGTGAGATGAAAACTGTCCAGATACTATGTCAGCCCCCCCCCCCCCCCCCCACCCCCAATCCATGGCTCATTGTAGATTTCCTCCTTAGATTATTCATTCTGATCATTAGTGGGTACGTAACACAGGATTTAGAGTATGGATTACATATTTCAGGGTTCGTAGTGGACCGGGAAATTACCGGGATTTTTTTCGTTGACCTTAAACCGGGATTTTTAGCTTATAAAAGACATTCCGACCTTGAAAAGCCGTGAATTTTGACCGCGGCAATGAAATCGTCAGAAATCCTGTGTTTTTCAAGCACAGGCAATTTTGGGGGAGCCATTTGGCTTTTTTGGCCATTTGGCTAGTTTTTGGCTACTTTCGTTGTATGGTCGTTTCAGGTGTGAGGGCAGCTGATTATTGGCTATTTTCAGCCGAAATGGCTTGTTAAAGGCCAGGGGAGGGCGGGCTTTGTTACAGATCATGAATACTTGCAGACAGCAGCAGTGTGGCATGGGGCGGGAAGGAGCAGCTTCCGTCTCGCGTGTGTGTGCGTGTGCCTTTGTTTCTAGCAAGTCGGGCAGAATGAACAGTTTAAATCGTTTATGGCCGTGGTTTCTAGAAAGGATTACATTGGGAGATGGTGGGGCTCGGTTCAGTTGTATTTATAAATAGAGTCGCCGTGGTGGGGCTAAGCACGGCCTTCTCTATTAATTAGAGATGGCATTGGGGCTAAGAAAAGTGACTGCAGCTGGATTTCCCAGTTCTATTTTTGGCCTGGATTTATCTTTACAGTGTGTTTGGCGATCAGTATTGTAATTCCCCGAGATTCCCTCTTCTGTTGTCTCACCCCTCTCTCTCTCTCTTCCCTCCCTCTTTCACTCTTCTACCTATTGCCCCTTCCTTCCCGTCTCCTGCATTGTCTCTAACCCTCCCTTCTGATCTTCATCTTCTTCTCTTTCTCTCTATCTTTCCTTTTACTCTCTCATTTCCTGTCCCCCCTCCCCCTTTTTCCTATTTTATTTCTTGTTTAAATGTTTAGTAAATGTGCGGCTCCATAACTCTTCCTAGCAACTCAAGTACACAGGAAGTTGTATTGGGGGGGGGGGGCATTCTGTGTGAACATGGTGGATATTTTCTTTTGATGTGTTTGTTTTCCTAGCGGCTTTAATCTCTGTCCATCTCCCTTCCCGCCCCCTCACATTTTGTCCTACCTGTTCCTCACTCTCTGCCTGTCTGTGTCACTGCTTTCTTCTTTCTCTTTGTATTTGCCACTCTCCCCCACTCCCTCCCTCCCCCTCTCTCTCTCTCTCTCTCTCTCTCTCTCTCTTTCTCCATACCTTCAGTTGGTGTAGAAGGTTATGTGTTGCCTAGTGCAGAACATTTCATGTCCACCATTCCCCCTCCCACACATTAAATATATGTGTACTTTTAAAAACACATTTGCCGTCACCCCCCCCCTTTTTTCTCCTCCCACATTGATGACACCTAGGGGAGGGAGTGCACCCCTTCCTGCTACCTTCTTCCCTCTATATCTCATCTTATTTCTTACTCCCTTCTTTCTCTCCCTGTCTCATTCCCACTTTATTTTCTTAAACTTTATTCTCTCACCTCCTCTGTCTCACCCTTACCACCTCAGCCTTCTACACCACTTTCCACCACCTCCTCTCTCCCCTCCTTTCTGTAATTGGAAAACCAGAAATAAAACGAAGTCCACTGCTGCCCTGACCTATTTATGTGTCTGACCTATTTATGTGTGTGGGTAAACTTCTCTATTTTCCACCAGTGGTGGGTTGGGATCCCCTGGACTTTTATTTTCTTCATAAAATGACCTTGGCTCTCAGGTCACCAGCCTTAAGTGTAAGAAATTGAATTATTGTTGTCACACACAGATAGGACAAGCAAGGGGCAGTAGGGGTTAGCACTGTTGTTTTTGGACCACGGCCACATTCACATTGGGAGAGGGTAGGAACCGGAAAAGTGGCCTCACTTAGAGATTTCCTAATTCTATTTTTAGCACTCATTGTTCTTACACCCCCCCCCCCCACCACCCCCACAACCATGTCTTACCTTTCTTCTCTCACCCCTTCTCTTTCCTTTGATCTTCAACTATTCTCCTTTCTCTCTCCATTCTTCCTCTCTTCCTTTCCTTGCCCTTTCTCCTGTCCCATCTCTTCTTTGTCTCCTCTCCATCCTGTCTTTTCATTTTCTCTAGATTTCCTTTCCCGCTCCCCTCCCCCCCCCCCCCCCCTTCATCATTTTTTTTACTGGTTCATCTACGTATTTTTTTGCCCCATAACTATCTTTTCCTAGTGGTTGTGTCCACTACACTTGAAATTGTGTGTGTGTGTGGGGGGGGGAAGTGGGTGGCTGTTTTTTTTCTTTGATGTATCTTGTCTCCCTTCCTGCCTCTCTCTCTTAATCTGTGTTTGTCACTGCCTTCCTTACCCACCTCTCTCTCTCTTGCTTTATGTCTGTTTGCCTCCCTTTATCACTTCCTCTTTGTATACCTCCCTCCCATTCTCCTGCTCTGCCTTTTTTCTCTTTCTTTGGTTCTCTCCCTCTGTCTGCTTGCCTCTCTGTGCTGTCCCTTTGTCTCTCTCTCTCCTTTATGTCTACATCTCTCTCTGCTTGCATCTGCTTCTCACCCTGTCCATTCTCTCTCCCTCTGTCTCCCTTCTTTCAACTCTTTGTCATATTTTCCTCCTTCCATATCTCTATTTCGTTCCCTTTTTCCTTCTCTTTTCATCTGCCCATCTCTGTATCTGCATTCCCTCTTTCTGTATTTTTTTCCCTCTCTGTCTTTCGCTGTTCCTTCCCCACTTTTCCTCATCATGTCTCCATCCCTCCCTCTCATTTTTTCCTCCTTCCCCAGACTTCTTTTCCTTCTTTTCTCTACCTTCATCTGTCCATCTTTACACTGTCTCTCCCAGCCTACCTCAGCATGTGTCTTCCTCTCTCTTCATGACTCTCTCTCTCTCCCCTAACCCTCTCAGGTGCCAGGTCCAGAACAGACAGGACTTCAGTTTGCTGCCCTCTACCACCAAGCCCTAAAAAAAAATTTCAAACACTATATCAAGCTCAGGGGCCGACCAACACGAAGATGGGCACAGGATATAAGTGAATCCTTGAGTATAAAAAAGTACATGAGGCGGGAGAGCTGGTGAGAGACCGAGGTTTTTTTTGTCAGGACAAAGGAAATGCTACATGATGATGATATCTGTGCTGGTATACCAACACATGTGGCACAAATGAAGTACCTTGTGTGCTCAGTACACCCTTGAACAAGGCAAAAATCTTGTTTCAGTATTACACCGAGACAACCTTGAAAAAAACTCAGGAGACCTTGAAAAAGACCCTGAAAAGCCTTGAAATTGATTGGTAAATTTGGCTGTGAACCCTGATATTTATATTCAAAAGACAAAAACTGTTATGGAAAAGAGAGCCTCTAGTAAACATTAAAGTATATGGAGAGCTGTTAGAACAAGTAACAAGTTCTGTCTTGATATTTACATATTCACCTATTTTTAGGAGTTGGTCTGCAGCTGATCTCTCCCAAGTGTATGTGTCAATGTTTGTATCTTTCAGGTCACATTTCCATATATCCTTACAGCAGTTGTCTTGGCCTTGCTGTAGACATTTTCCCTGTTACCAGTTCACCATACAGGAGATCCTTTTAAATGTGACTGTCCTTCATGCGGGAGATGTGTCCCAAGGAGCACAGCGTCTTAAATTCAGTAGAAAATATTTTGTATTGACCATTGTAGAAAAAAAATTTAATTTAATGTTCATCAAAGTTCATCACAAAATGTGTGTATTTTTCATGCACAGATTATGAAAATGAGCTCCAGGTGGGAGATAACTACAAGGACTGCAGTGAGATTAGGACACGGAGAACCGAAGAGCTCAACAAAGTGTGCGTGTTTGACCCCATTGTACTTGGAGGTGACTGTGTGAAACAGCAGAACTACGGTTTTGATGATGGACAGCCGTGTATTTTGCTCAAGTTAAATAGGGTATGTTGTTGGAGTCCATGAATTTCTGCCTTATCTCTTTCAGTTGCACCACTATATAACATATATTTGACATAATAATCACTTTGTGTGTTCTCATAAATTGTTGCGCTTGGTTCGATAATTTTAAAGGGATCTGGCCTCTCCAGTAGCCACGTTGAGTGCATTTAAACAGCCTGTTTTTATATTAGATGTGAGTTGTGGGCTATCTTCCAGTTGTCAAGAAAGAAAATAGCCGTTTTTGAACTGAAGTCTAGTAGAAAGATTCTCAGAACACCATGGACAAATAAGAGAAGAAATACTGACATTTTAAAATATCTGAACATCAAGGAAGATTGGCTAATAAACAGCATTTTGTCTCAGAAGATGAAATATGTTGGTAATTTCAAGCGCCATGGCGAATTGGAAAAAATAGTAACAGAAGGCATGGTACCAGGAAGGAGGAGCAAGGGCCGACCTGCACGAAGATTGGTACAGGATATAAATGACTCCTTGAATATGAAAGAACACGAGGCGAGAGGCAAACTTTCTTTCAGGCAGACTGTCATGAGAGCGATGTTCTGACTGTCATGAGAGCGACATTCTAAATGTCGTGAGAGCGACATTCTGACTGTCATGAGAGCGACATTCTAAATGTCGTGAGAGCGACATTCTGACTGTCATGAGAGCGACATTCTGAATGTCATGAGAGCGACATTCTGCAAAAAGACCTGCTACTTCAACTATATTTACCGTTTAAGCAGAGCCTGATTTAGACGTGAGGAGGCCCTAACCTATATAAAGCCCTGAGGTCCCTATTATTTTAAATTACACTAGCTAATTTCCAAAAATGTAAAATATAAACGCTTTTTAAATGCAGGGATAATATAAATATATTTTTAGTTTGTTTTTGTTTTGTTTTAAGAAATAAAAAAGAAATTTATTTCAGAATCACAGAAATTATATAATCCTCTAAAAGGTTTTAAGTTACCACTGAAATAATTGTAATCCTAATTTACCAAATGAAAAAATCATCTATTATGTCATCAAAAAGTTGTGCAGCTAATTTTTCTTGAGGCTTAGTTGCTCTCAGTTCATTTTTTTTTAAATTCTCTGTATGGGATTTTTCTGCTGACTATTTGCTACTATTAGACACAGGAATAGTAATAATATTCCTTCTCAACTTTGCTGCCAGATGTTCACATTTTAAATCGGCGAATCAAATGTGTGCACATGTGGACTGGCTCCTGAGACAACAGATGATGTTCACCAAGACTGGCCCAAATACAACATATCAAAGCAAAACTTTTGGCCAAGGGAAACATCGGTGCAAGTCAAACTTTCCGGGTGAATTACAAAAGACAGTGAAGTTCATACTAGAGACAACACTGCAGATATAGATAATTTATTTCAAGCGAATGAAAGAAGAAGAAGAAATAATATTGCTTCAACATTAGGGGAAACTGACTGAAACTTTTCTTAACAGATGATTTGATACAGATCTTTGTGTTGACTTTGTTCTTTTCAGGGTAATTCTGTTTGACATAATCACAGCAGTGCCTCAGTTTACTCATGAGGATAATATCATCCTGTGAATATTCTTTCATTAAAGTATCTACAGCTTTACATATATCAAGCTGATTATTTTATTTATTTTAAATAGGTTTGAAAAATTTAGACTAAATTACTGCCTGAGTTAATATACCCAAAATAATATTGTAAAAATTAAAAATTCTGGAGGAAAAGAAATATATTAAAAGAAAACTGAATTGGGGGGGGGGGGGTGTTTTGAGGTCCGATGACAAACCATTTCAGCCAATAAAATTGGTGCAAATAAAACCAGACCACAGTTAAAACCAAGTTATTTTCAGCAGACGTGAATGTGGTCAAATTTGTTATTCTCCCCACCCACCCACTTTTCCAACCAACAACAATCCTTTAGGGGGGCGGGGGTGGAACAGATAATTTAAGAAAATATTTCCCATCATCTTATGAAGATTTGAAGCAGCTCTCTGCAAGTCACTTCACTCACTGTATATTTGAGTACTAGACTCATAGCTGTCCGTCTCCTTTAACTCTTTGAGTCCCAAGGAACGCATCATACGTTCCTAACTAGAAGCCCAATGAACGCACGATTCTTTACCTGGGCCTGTGATGCTAAACCCTCTGGGACTCATGAGGCTTAGAAATAATCATCATTACAGGTTTAGCTTTGTTTTCACAATGTTATAGTAGCTGTAATAAAGTATCTGTGTATGCTGTCATACTTTATAAGATGGTTGCTGTAGATTATACCCCAAATAATGTTTTTTTTTTTTTTTTGAAGAATTGGCTCAGACTATACTAATGAAATCCCTTGCAGTGGTAACTTTCTTGTCTATTTTTGCCACTAGTATTTGTCTCATTTAATAGCTAGTTTTCAGGTGTTAATTTGTATTAAACCTTCAGTACTAAGTTAGCCGGGTTTAGTTGTGTTCAGGTCACTAAGCTCACATAAAATCTGGCATATTGTTTAAATAGAGAATTTTCTTCTGACCAAGTGCAAAGTAACAATTTCCAAAGGGTGATGTTTACCCCTCATATTTTAGGTGTTTCATTGTTAAGTTAGTTGTGTATATTTAACAGGACGTTGCAGAAACAAACCCAGCACTTTTTGACTATTTGTGATTTCACTAGGCAATATTTCTTTTAAATGTAAATGCTATAGGCACATTTTGTGAATTAGTTATTTAGAGCACAAAACTAACAAATATGTCAGAGACAAAATATACAAATTGCAGTACAGCAGAAGCCTCTCTTGACAGTGGTGAAATTTAGTTCGAGCATGTGAGACATGATTAAAATGCACAGACTGTACTTCAAGAGGAGGGCAAAGAAGAACCTGGAATGACGACATCAAGAAATGGACAGAACTAAGTTATCATACACATATTCATCAAGCGGAAGACAGAAAGATGGCGGGTTTTATGTGCTAGTGTTTTCATCCACGACCCTAACGGGTCAGGTGAGTGGTATGTTATGTTAGGCAATGTTTACATTTAGTTATTTGCCATTGCCTCTGATCGGTCGGCTCTAGATACCACTGTCAAAACTAGTGCAAGGCGGTCTGCTACCAGATCGGCCACAGCTGAGATCAAACCCGGCTCCTCAGATTTACCAAGTATGTTCACAATGCCTAAGCCGCAGACATTTATGTATTTGAATGTTCAGTTATTCTTTAGTCAAATATACATATTTGTTCCTAGATATTTAACTGGAAACCAGAAGAGTACACGAATGACACTGTCCCAAGTATTATCAGAAATGTCTGGACAGCAGAGGACCCCTGGTGGATAACTGTTCGTTGTGATGGAGATGTGAGTCTCTTCTTCGTCTGCTTCTTTTATCTTCTTTCCTCCACCTCTTCTTCTTCTTCGGTATATGTCTACTCTGGTGCATGCATTGATGATCATGAACTCTCTCTCTCTCTCTCTCTATCTCTCTCTCTCTCTCTTTCTCTCTAATCTGATATTTTAATTAAGTTGATGTTGCTAACAGTATCATTTCTTGTCCATTTGTACAACTATTGAAGCTTTCTGCATATTGTTTTGCTTTCTGCGTTCAAAGGATCTAGTTGGAGCAGTACAGAGCAAGCATCATGTGCCCTGTACACTAGAAGCATTGAAACAGTTTCTATCTTTTGTCAAAGCAAAAACCAGTTATATGTGCATCCTATTTATTATCAAGACTGATAGTATTTGCAAATAGCTTATCACAAACATAAGAAAGAGACAAGTCATTTTTTGGGGTCATGTTATGAGAAGACGGCAACTGAAGCATGTTGTGACTACTAGAAAGGGACAGAAAAAGACAGCGCAAGAAGATTCTTGACAGCCTCTGTTATTGCATGAAAGGGGTGTCAATGCACACACTGATATACCCAGATTGCAAGGTGATTGATGATGATGCTCACACGCTGTTAATTTTTGCTCCAACGGTCAGATATTAAACAAATGAGACCCCATCATTTGTCACGGCCCTGCAAATGTTAACATTTTTTTAGGAATGCTCACTTTGTAGCGCATGTGTACAAATTGTAGAAGATTTGTGTGAATGTTGAATTAAGAATCTACATCACAGCACTTTGATACTCCCATAAGTGCTCCGCATCTTCAGCAGCAAGCAAAGAGTTCCAATTCCGATGGCACCAGTAACTGTCTGATTGTATATCAGTCTCATCCCGCACTGTTCACTCGCTCCCAAAGGGCCATCGCATTATCTAGCTCGTCATACAACAATTTACCACCAGGTGGTGCAGAGCCGGCCAGTCTTTTTGCCTGCTCCTTTGTGCGATTTTTTTTTCTTAGTTGCATATTCTGGGGGGCTGTTGTGGTTTTTCTAGGCAAGTTTACGTCTTGTAGTTTGCCGTTGCTTTCTGGATGGTCAGCTTCTCGATGCCAATGCTATGACTTTTTTTTCTGTAGTTGGCAAGGGGGGCGATGTGAAATCATGGATCAGTGATTCACGCCTGTTCTTCACGTATTTATCTAACCCCCGAATTTGTGGTGTGCAGTTTTCTCTGTGGGTCGTCTGATGGATCATTGTGGGAAATAGATATATCAGGATGGAAGGATACTAGCCGGCACCTCAGGGCTTCCTTTCAAAGGTATAAACACAACATAGTTATTGTTGGGATATCACAATTTGGAGTGGGATAAAGGGACACAAGGAGGAGTGCATCTGCCTGTATGTCTTAAGGAAGCCACGCAACAACTGCTATTCAGATAGGCAGCAGAGGATACTGGTACAGATGTATTTACAGCAGTCACACATCAGCAACTGCATCAAGGCAAACATCTTAATATAGAAACATGACGCATGACTTTTCTGAGTACATTGGTGGCAGGAACGGACAGACAGGCGGGCCGGTGAATTAAGTTAAGATAAGTGTTTTTATTTCATGTACCTAATTGCTCTAATATGGTCAGACGCCATTTCTAGGTGTTTTTAATCTTTGCCGTCGCAGCTAGTTGCCTATTTGACAAAGGTTTTGGGGAGTGCTAGAAAGTTCTTGCAAGCTCTCTGTTCATTTTCATAATTAAATCGCCACGACTGTTGCTCGTGCATGCTACATTATCTATCTAGTGATGAGTATTAGTGCGCACCTGATTATGACGTTACTATAATGCGGGTATCATCTTGTACTGTCTGGAGCGCAGATCCTATGTGATCTAGAAGAAAACATGGGCGACCGCTTTGGCTTATTTCCACGACCTCCAACGTCGCATGGTGGCTTTTTCAAATCACATCTAATACTTTCTTTCGCTAAACCATTCGAAGTGCTAGCTTAGGATCTCCGTTGATAGTTTCTGCCATTGGCGGTTTCAGAGCCCCTTGCATCCCTGGTCAACTTCTCATGATCACGTTGCCTAGTGGCCTTTGCCCTAGTGACACACTCATTGCGCATGATCATTGATAGACCAGATGTGGGACTCAGACTTGCACTTTGAGGTTTTAGTGGATTAGAAATTGTACGGGGTAATAATTTTTGTTTCTGTGTTAATATATGACGGCGGTGATGAGAGAAATCTTTCAGGAACCTATTGAGTTTTCATAAATGATCAGTGGGTGTGAGATTGTGTCCTCACTACGGGGTTATGTTATGCTGAATTAGGTGTTAGGACCGCTCCATTAAATGAAAAATAATTGTAGCTTCACATTTTATCTGTCATTTACGAGCATTTACTTATTATTATTACAGTTGTAATTATCCGGATATTTATATTAACGCAAAGTTTTACTATATGGGTACTGTTTTGCAAGCCTGTGGGCTCAGTTGTATCGTGAATCGGGGTGGGGTGGTGTGTGATAGGTTGCTCGTTGAATACTAATGGTATAACTAGTACGCTGTCAGTTTTGAGAATCCAAGTCACTTAACTATTCATCTTTTGATAAATTGAATATTTACGATAGTTTTATTTCCAGAATTTGGTGTGTGCTGGAGATATGTGTTACTTTTTTTATTGTGGACTCTCTGTCATGTTATGTTTGTTGGCACATAACTTGGTGAGGTAGATATTTTCTAATAGATGTCTTCCTTATAACTTATTTTGATCATGCTCTTTTGAATGCTGTTCAGTACATTATCTCTTGGGCAAAAACGTGTGTGAGACAGAAAGCAGCATGGGCAAAATCTTTGTAGTGTGTGTTATATCTACAAGATTCATCATATATACTTGTCTGACATATGCTGGTCTTTGCTAGAATATGTAGGGCAGTTTGCTTATGCTGTAGTGGCTGCAGATCAAAGGTAACAAATGTAGAAACACACAGCACAATGTGGCTGGCACATCATGAGGGTCAATAGTGCTCTTTTTTAAGACAGAAAGTATTTGAAGCGTTTAATAGTTTTGGATTGTTTTTCGGGGGGGTGGGTAGGGGGAGTGGTTGTGTGGAGGTTTTTTGGGAGTGGTTGCTGCTAGCGTAGTGGTAGAGTTAGTAATTCGCACATTATTCTGGCATTTGATTTCCATGGCCTTGTGTGTGTGTGTCGAATTCTTGGGTTTTTGAAGTGCTTTCACATTGTACTCTATCTCACAATCCGGTTGCTATTGGTTTCTTCCATGCTTGGGGCGGTTCAGTTTCAGGTTTAATTTGTGTACATGTTTTTTTCCATTGTCAGAATTTCGTCCACCCTGGCGTCTTATTATTCTCTGTTAATTTCTTTGGTGTGAATTTGTCCTTATTCACAATGGTATCTTCTTACGTTAAGATGCAGCGTCGCATAATTTTTTCTATTATTGTAGACATGTGTCTGTATCTTAACGAGGATATGCAATAGATAAAACCACGTTTGTTGATGCACTTTTTTGTTGCACCAGGCTTAGGTCATACCCTCGTGGGAGATCCATGTGCTGGTCATGGATTTTGTGATTGGGGAATGTTTGGACCGAGCGAGCATCGAACTTACTCTGAAGCTCCGGGAAATGTATAGTGGTTTTTCGACATCTGTGGGATGTGTGGTGTCATATGTGCTTTGTCTACTGTCTATGACTGTGTAGTTGCATTTTATAAGTAAAAAGCGCTATTAGATTTCTTTGATCGCTCTCATTCAATTGCCTAACTGGGTGGGCAGTGTTGGGTGGAAACGTAACTCGTCCTAAGATGAACCAAAATACTTATGTTGTGTTGGAATTGGGTTGGGTTATGAGGGAGGCTGGGGGGGGCGGGAAGATTGACATCACAGGTTCTAGTAGGAGGGGAAAAAAAAGAACTGCAGTCACACTGCATGGCTCTTGGCATAGTGAGCTCGCACGAGCCGGTTGTTAATAGGGGGTAGTCTTTTGGTATGGATCGGGCGGGGGGTAGAAGAGAGACACACACTGGCAACGAGGGTGGGGTTAATAGGTGTGAGATGGGTGCTTTGACAGATTCAGAGTGCCCGGCACCTGTAATTTGTACCTACTAGATTTGTTGGAGGAAGATTATGGGACATAGGCAGTGTCCTTGCTGAATCTGATGCTGGTTGGTATGCTTATTTGGTATATTGTTTGCCTTTGGTTCTTTTTTGATCTCTGCTACTTTGTTTATACATATTGTCAGACAATTACGGAGGTTCAGATAAACACAACACCGCACGTATTGTTTGCCCCTCATTTTCCGCATGCCATAGGTGGATCGATCACATCCCTGGGGGCGCGGTGCTTTGGGTATTTAGAACTGATCGGGTTTTTTGTGATGTCCTCACTAATCCTCATGCAGCACTCTCGTTTGCCGGACAAAGAATGACCATTATAAACGCCAGTCAACTTCTACTCTGGCTTTGCTACTTTCATAATCTACTTTACTTGTACTTACTTTCTACTCTGGGTATAAAGAACATGGAGTCGCTGAGGTGGCTGTTGCATGAAAGGATGTAGCTTAGAATGGAAAATAATGGGGAGATCAGACTAATGTGGCATGTGATCCTTGTATACAGCAACTCAACTTGAATTGTCTAAATAAAGACCAATGCACTTTAAGCAGAGTTTTTTTTTTAAAAGCATTTTCATTTTTATATAAACATGTTGCAATAATCTGTTGGGCCACATTATTCAAGATACTTGCAAGGCGCAAGTAGTCGCTTATGTTAGTTCCCAGTTTAAATCGTACTTTTGGCTTAGAATTTTTGTGTCCTGTTTCCGCTCGCCCCCCCTCTCCCCGTTCCTGTTTAATCTATTCCTAATTCCTCCTTCCTCTCCCCCGGCAAGACCCCTTGTCCTCTAAATTTTTTTTGTCCTTTCGACTAATTTAATTCTTCCGCTTTTTCCTTTTTTTTTCCTCCCTCCCACCGCCACCGAGGGCCCCCCCCCTTTTTCCTTTTATCGCTGTTTCCTATTTGCCTTCTTTTCCGCCCCTTTGCCTCACCATTTTTTTTTCCTCCCCCCTCCCACGCCATCCCCCTTTTCCATGTTCCTCCCCCCGCCCCCCGCTCCCCCTTTTTTCGCTTTTTTCGACTCCCCCCCCCCCCCACCCCCCGTACCCTCTCCCTCCCTACCCCCCCCCCCCTTCCTCCCCCTTTCCTTCATTCGCTCCTCCCCCCCACCCCCCGTTTTCCATGTTCCTCCCCCAACTCCCAACCCCTCCCCTTGATTGGTTTTTTTTGTCATCTTTTTCTGCCTTTTTCCTTATCCTTGCTCCGGCCCTCCTTATTGATTTTCCTTTCCATCCCCCCCAGGCCTCTCCCCCGGTCCCCCACCACAATCCGTTCCTTCTTCCCCGCCCCCGAACACACACTTTTTTTTTTTCGAGTCAAAAGCTTGTCGCAGTGCCGACGTCATTTTAATGAAACTAACAAAACTTAACCGTCCTCTAACAAAATTTTAAACTTGTAAACGTCCAATTAAAAACGTTTAAAACCTCCTTTAGAGCTCCTTAGTGTCGACACAACACTTGGCGGGTTCAGCGTGTACCGCTACTAAAAAGAACTCCTTTCCTGCCTTGTTCCCTATGGTGTTCTTTTTTTTTATTTATTTTTTTTTTTGTTTTTTTCTTTTTTGGGGTTTTTGTTTTTTTTTTTTTTTTTTTTTTTTTTTTTTTTTTGCATCATTTTTTTTTTTTTTTTTTTTTTTTTTTTTTTTTATTTTTTTTTTTTTTCTTTTTTTTTTTTTTGTGTGTGTGATAGAATATACTAAATCCAGGTAGGGGATTAAGTGTATCCCAAAACATTGAACTTCTCTTTTGTTATTCCACATTCCTTGAAATGGCATAGTATGGCAGCGATTCTTGTTGAGGTGTATACGAGGCAAGGCTTAAGTGTTAGAAATCTTTTGGCTCACACAAATCCGAGTTTCATCGGTAATCTAATGGCAATAACAAACGTCCCTAAGTTGTTGTCTTCTTAGAATTGAGATGCTTGTTAGGGGCCAGGACTGGGACTTTAGTGTCTTGTTGTAGAGGAGTGGGGGAAGGTGCGTGGGACTAGCTGGTGGGGGTCGAGTTTGTTTGTTGACACTCGATTGATTTACGCAGATATATGGTCACTGGGTCAGTTTGTTTACGGGTTAATATTGTTCCCCGGCACAATTGATAGCCTCGGATCATGCCAGGGGAATTAAAAAAATTTGACAACGTTCTTGTTGTCTACTGGAAATAAGTTAAGTTTGTGGTCTGGCATTTTTGTCTTTGCGAATCTTATAAGATCAGGCCAGTATTTCGCTGAAACCGCAAGATTTTTTTTATATGCGACATATATACTTTATTAGTTGAAATAAATAATATGATTTCCGCATACTTATCTCTAGCGGTGGGCAAATATAAGGACAGGCAATATTTTTTTTTTTTATTTAATTCGCTTATGATCCGAATATACAAGTATATCTGTCTATCTTATAAATATTTGTTCTGTGAATAACAGCAACATATGACATAACATTCCTAGAATTCCTTTTATTTTCTTCAATTTAAACTATGCAGAGCTGTCTGCTATGTTTATATGGTTGTAAACTGTAATAACTTTATATGTTACACATATCCATTAAAGTTTAAGACATCCTTTGACAACAGAATAATTTTTTTTGTCTATGATAATCTTTCATTCTTGTGGTTGTATTACACACATACAATAAGATTCCATTTAAAACCCTGATATATTGTATTGATATATCTGCTTTCATTTTTTAATGGGGAGTTGTGTTTTAAAACAAAATAATTTTCAACTTTTCATTGCAGCTGAGTTAATCAAATATTCAGTTGAATTACATCTCTTTTCCTTGTTATTTATAATCATTTAAAATAATGGAATGGAAACTTATATTTAAATAAAATTTGTTGCATCTTAAAACAATCACTAATTTCTTCTTCTTCTTCTTCAGCATTCCGAGCCCTTGATGTTTATTGCTGCAGATATCCCCCACCTATATTCATCTCTCTGTTTGGCTTTCTCTTTCCAGTTGCAATACTGTCTGGACATTTTATCTCCATCGTCTTCTTGGTCTG